CATTTTCCATTGCTATCAGCAATAATTGAGGGTTCCAGTTTCTTCACACCCTCACCAACATTTATTATTTTCTGTGGGTTTGTTTTTGTTAGATCCGTATATGTGTGAAGTGGCATCTTACTATGGTTTTGGTTTTTATTTCCCTAATGAACACTGATGCTGAGCATCTTTCAGTTGGTCTCCCAGACTCCAGTCTTGCCCCCTTCCCCAGTCTGTCCACTGAGCAGCAGGCGGAGTCCTTCCAAAACGCAAGTGTGATCCTGTTTCCCTCACCACTGAGAACCCTCAGAACCCCCCCACCCACTCTGCCAGGACTAGAATTCATGTCTCTGCCCTCAGTGTCCCCACGACACACATTTAGGGGCTCCGGCCCCTAGAATATTCTCCCAATTGCTGAAATACACTTCTTCTCAAACCTTTGCAGCTGCGGTTCTCTCAGCCTAGAACGTCCTCCTCCGTGCTGCTCCACCCACTTCCCTCAGCAGTGCCTTCTCGTCTCAGACCTCACAGACCTCCCACTCTGTTCACACCTGGGTGGTGCGCCCCTCTCTCTGCTCCCCTGTCCCATTCCACTCTGATTTGTAGTGGCCAGTTCAACTGTCAGTTTAACCCAAAGACCCCGAAACCCACAAGGGTCAAGGTCAGGTCTGTCGGCTCAGCCTGGTAGCCTCAGAGCCCAGCACAGCCGGGACTCGTGATAGTTGATGGCTGGCCACTGGGAGGGAAAGGTGACGTGTGACTGGGTGGATGCATAGATACGTTTGATTTCTGGGCCCAGTTTGTTTCTTCTGCCTGAAGCTCCTTCACCCTGGTTCAAGCATTTTTGCTCCCTCCAGTTGGCCACATGCACCTGAATCTCAACCGTGGTGCGCGCAGCCGAGGACAGTGAGGCCAGACTGGCTTTCCCTATCTAGGCTATAAATTCCTTTCTATGTTGTGATCATTTCCTCTTCCCGACTTAAACTAAGTTCCTTCTTCTGTGTCCTTGGCCTCCACTGTTTGCAGAACCACAGGGGTCTTCCTTTGTCTCTTCGGGTCCCCCCATCCCCATCCTCTTGAGTATGTCCCGCCTGTTTCCCCTCTACCCTCTGCTAATCACGATGGCAGTTTCCCTTCTCTACAAACCTACGCCAGTGGTTTCTAACCTTAACTCCTGTTGGAATCACAGTGGGATCTCTGAAAAACCCGGATGCCCAGGCCACAATCCTACTGCTTAAACAGTAATCGGGGTGGGGGAGGGTGGGGCACAGATTCCTGAACATTGGTATTTTTTAAAGCACCCAGCTGACCTTACTCTGCCTCGGTGTTTGAGAACCAGTGTTCTTTCTCCCTGGCTCTGTGCCCAGCAGGCTGCCCCCAGGCTTGCTTCTGTTCCAGTGTCTCAGTTGAGTTCTCTACACCCGCACCTAATCTTTTCAGCACCCGACAATTCAATTCTCAGCGGTCTAGTGTCCTCTGCCTGTTTAATGAGATCTTGGGTGAGTCGCTGCAAGATTCTGACCCCCTGAGTTAATTCACGTATTTCCAAACTGGGGATGAAATCTATGCCCATATGCTTCCCTGTTGTTCCCTGTGATGATCAAAACAGGTAATTCATCAAACACAGTTCATGTGCCAGATGGGGAGTTATGTGTCTATCAGGACCACCCCTCTTTTTCCCCCTCTGAACTAGAGCTCCCCAAGGACTGGGGCCAGGTCTTAGCCTGATCTCTGGTCCCTGGCACCCTGCTGAGAGTACCTGGGAGCATATACTTGATACATAAGTGGGCAGGGAACAGCATCCTGAGAGAGGGAAGAGCATGAGTGAAGTGTGAGGGCAGAAGTACAGTCAAGTACATTGGGGGTTGGGTTTAGGTACAATCAGAGGAAAAGTGAACACATGCCGGGCCTGGGTAGGGGCAGATGTTAAATACCAGGCTAACGATAATATCAGGCATTATCTGGAAGGCCACCGGCAGCCGTAAAAGTTTTGGGGAGGAAGGGTATGTAAATGAGGGGGGAGACAGCTTTGGAGAGTAGAAGTCAGGTGGTAAAGGATTTCTCTAAGAGCAACTACCTCAGGACTTCTGCTTCAGATGAAGGAGGCCGGAGAAGAGAAGGGGCCCACAGCACAGAGGGGGTGTTCCGGGGGAGGGGCGGCTAGTGGCAGGCGAAGGGGGGTGAGCAGAGCAGGACAGGATCCAGTGTCGCCGCCCCTTCCCCTCCTGCCCCAGAGAGACCGCCACACAGACAGGTCAGCCAGTGCTTCCCAAATGGGGCGCAGACCGGCTGCAGCGGCCTGGCTCGCGCCCGGGACCTTGTTAGAAATACAAAATCTTGGGTCCCACCCCAGGCCTGCAGAATAGGATCTCTGGGGGTGGGCCCAGCACTGTTTTAATAAGGCCTCCAGGGGATTCTGACCAGGGCCCAAAGGGACGGACCACTGGTAAGTCAGCTGCAGGTAGAAGGGCTTCCCTGGTCTTCACCCCGAGAGATGAAAAGATCACCAAGCCAGGCTTGCTCCAGCCAGACCAGGGGCAAGAAACGGAAAAACAGCCCTTCCCCCCTCCCATAATCACCCCTACTGGCGTCAGCCCAAAGCCAGCCTTCATGAGCAAAGGGGATTCACCCGGAGGTGAGAATGTGGGTACAGGTCAACCCAGCTCTTCATCTTCAAACACTGGCTCTTGAGGGGCAGCCTGAACCCCATCCCAAGACTACTCCATTTTGCCTCCTGCCATGGCTTGGCTTGGCAGATCCCTGTCTTCGCCCTCACCCTAGGCGGAAGGGGTAATGGGAAATGGCAGCCCTGCAGGCTGTGTTGTGGCCACGCCCCAGACATCAACAGCTGTTCAGGAACAGACACCTCACCCAGCTTCTGACCCAGGACTTGATTATTCAATTTGGCTAAAGTTTAAAAATAGCAGCATTGGAGGGGGTGGGGGGGGGAACGGGGCAGCGCCTGGGTCTGGAGAGAGGGTCTAGGCTTGCAGGTGAGGCAGGATTCTTAGCACGCGCTGGCGCTCGGCTCTGCTGACTTACATCTCCAGGGTTTGGCCTGCCTTCAGAAGTGAGTTTCATGCCATGGCGGATGGGTGAGTGCTTATCTTGGTGGCACGGTGGACCCCCAGCTCTGGGGGTTGAGCAGAAGGGGATCTGTGATGTTGACTCTTAATTCTAGAAAGCCTTGTCTTGTTCTTGGGGTGAGAAGCTTTCCCCAACTCCCACGCAGGGGCCTGGGCATCTTGCCCATCCTCATCTGCCCGGGCTCTTCACTTGCGCCTTCACCAGGGCCCAGCAGACCCCGTGTCCCAGTTAAAGGAGATGATGCAGGTCGGGGAATTTGTTAAATTACTTAAGTAACTCGGAATCATGAGGGCGCTGAATTATCATTTGGGGGAAGGTGAGAAAGAAAGGACTTGGTTGAGAAAAAGGCTCAAACTCCACTAATTTTTAATTTAGGTTTAAATAGCCACAGATGTGCAAAAAATACCCAACTTATGCAGCGACAACTCTCCCATTCTTGCCTATTTTTTAATTTCCATTCCCAAAGGCAACTGCTCTTCCTAATTTCTTTTGTGCATACAAACATATGCAAAAATAAGTTCTAATTTCCACCCTTTTACACAAAAGCGGCATGTTATTATGCACATTGTTCTGGACCTTGAATCCACCTCTGACCCCAGTAACACTCCTTGGAATTTTCCATGTCTGTGTGTCTTTGTTATTTTCAACAGTTGCATAGTATTCCATGGTGTGCACATACTGTAACTTATCCACCAGCCCCCTTCAGTGGTCACTGGGTGTGTCCACTCACCTGTTATCACAAATAGTGCTCTAATACTTTAGCTTATACATGTATCATTTTGTATATGTTTAAGTAGGATCAGCTCCTAAAAGGGGAAGTACTGGGTCAGAATGATTGTGGTACATACTGTCTTCCTTCCTCTGATGGGGAGGTAGGAATAGAGACTGTTTAGAGCCAGATAGAGTGGGGTTTGAACCTAGTCTCTGCTTTCTAGTTATTTGCTTATGTGCTCTGACCTTCAATTTTTAAAATCTGTAAAATGTTGGCCCACACAGTTGAGAAGATGGAATGGGATCAGCTGTGTAAAGCATTCGGTTCAGAGCCAAACATAGTGAGAGCTCAGAGTGTCAGGAGTAGGGGACTCTCACCATACTGCCCTCGCACCTTCCCAAGGACGGGCAACCTGGGTTCTCCAGGCCGTCTCCGAGCCGAGGATTGAGCCTGGTGGTCGAGGTACTGGTTCCAGTTGGAAGATCCCTGCCCCAGCCTGCCACTGGTTTTGTCCCTGAGGCTCCTGGTAGGCCCTGATCACGGGACTCGGGCCCTCCGCAGGACCTTCCGAGGGCTAGCTGTTAAGCAGCCACTTGGTCTGCCTTAGGTCCTCAAAGCTCTGGGGCCCTGCACATCCACAAATAAACACCCTCTCTGCCATTTATTGAGTGTTTGCCACCAGCCATACCTAATTCTGAGTATGCTTCACATGTGGTTCCATTCTGTTCTCAGAACTGTCCCATAGCGTAGGAGAGATTGATTTCTCCCTGTCACCCTCTTCATCATCATGCGGTGTTGCCCCTCCCCAGGAGAACGTCCCCTTCCCTCTTCGAGTTCTTCCACACTGTCCCCTTAAGGGGGCGAGAGACCAGCATTGTGATTGGGGTTTCCGGTTTCTATGTTTTATTTACACTGGAGATGAGCCCTCGTTTGAGAAGTTTTTGGCTGGATTAAGGGGTGGGTGTGACTTTATAGGACTCGAAATGGAGTCTGTGTCTAGAGGGAAAAACATAACATCAGTACTAACATCTCAAAACACCTGTGTGAAATTCTCACCCTTACCACCATCTCTACCAACATTTAGTATGAAAAGTGAGTCGGCATCTGAGTTTTTGAATGTTTTCACCAAGAGGTGGTCTCTGACCCTCTTAAATGGACCCCAAACAATGCATCTGCATATCTACCTCTGTTCTCTCTCTCTTGCTACAGGGGAGCAGGACGATTCGGGAGCCCAGGATCTGTTTGCTGGGCTCATTTCTCAAGCTGTAGACCCAGGTGGCTCAGGCCCGCAGCCCATCCGAGAGCATGAGTAGAAGGAAAGAAGGGGACTCGTTCAGCATACTCAGAATCTACGATGAGCAGGAGGAGATGAGGAGTGTGCTGGAAAATGCTGGCATTTCCTTCCAACCTGAGCCTCAAGTGCAGCCCCAGCCAGAGGGAGCAAGCAGGGTGCACCAGCAGCCTGCAGGTTCCCCGAGGCAGCAAGGCCCGGTTTATCAGGAGATGAGCACCATGACTCCCCAGCAGTGGGCGCTGCAGGCCCTAGACAAGTCCACGCTCCAGGCCAGTTGGCTGTCTGAGGTGGAACCGGGAGAAGAGGCTGAGTTGGGCCCCAGGTGGGTCTTGCTTGAACAAGACTGGTGGGGGTGGTGCACAGTCCTGGGGCCAGGGCCGCACAATGAGCTCTCCATCTCATGTGCTGTCTCCTCCCTCTCCTCGTCACTCCTTTCCATGTGTCCTAGCCTCCTGCCAGGACCCAAGTTTGGTAAGTCCCAGCTGGGACAGGGTGCGTGGGGCGGGTGGTGACCCAAGCCTGGGCCTGAGATGGGGGACAAGGTAGGAGGCCTGGGGTGGGGGGAGCAGCCTGCTCCCTGCGTCCTGTGACCATGTTGCTACCAGATGCCCTGTCCGCAAGTGGGTGGGCATTGATGTTTCCCTGTAGGCCAGCCTTGCCCTTCGCCTCCTCGTCATGAAGATATCTGGGCATTCCTCAGAGCAGTTGTAAGTGTCTTGTTTTTTTAACTTGAGATCTTTCCCTTCCCCACTACCCCCAAACAAGAAGCTGGTAGGAAGAACATGAGAGCGTGTGACGTGTCCACACTCTCCTTCTCTCTCCTGTGGGTGATGGGCGGCCTGCAGCTCCCTGCTTCTTTGAACTAGACCGCCCTCCCTCCCCCGCCCAGTGGGTGGGGTCTTCAGCTCGCTGTCACATCTCCTAGAGCTGCATCCTAGGGGGCTCTGAGGCTGCTCTGCTCTCATTGCTGGCCCTCAGACTGTCCAGTGTGACTCTATTTATCAAGGAGGTGCCCTGGTGGGCACCATCTAGGCTGGTGCAGAAGGATGGCAGTGGTTGGGGGACCTCGCCCAAGGATGCAGTTCTGTAGGGTAGGGGTGGGAGTGGAGGGCAGCTGGTGGATGAATGGTTAGTTGGTCAGAGGACAGGGGCAGGCTGTCCCAGTGGGTGGTGGTCTTTCTTGGCACCCACCTTCTCCTGTCCCCAGCCTTCTGTGCCAGGTGTGGTCAGTCAGAGTACCCCACGTGAGTCCTGGAAAGTTGGCAGCCTCCACCATGGAAAGAAAGTCTATGCTGTAGCCATCAGCAACTCGACTCACCATGTGTACACCTGTGGCCACGGCTTTATCAAAGTGTGGGATAAGAGTGCTTGGCATGCCTGGGACAGGCCCCCTCAGGCCCAGCTGAACTTGCAGGTGAGAGCTGCTCAAGAAGGGCTTGGTGAACCCAAATGTGAGACGGAGCCTATGCCTCGAGGAGATGACAGGGAATGTAAACCGTTCCTGCAGGATCATCAGAACTGCATCCTCACCTGCAAGCTGTTCCCAGATGAGCAGCAGCTGATCACTGGGGGTCTGTCCCGGACCCTAACTCTTTGGGATCTGGCACCCACCCCCCGCATCAGGGCCCAGCTGGCCTCCACGGGCCTCATGTGCTATTCTCTGGCTATCTCCTCCAATGCCCAGATCTGTTTGGCATGTTTCAAAGGATTTGTTGAGATTTGGGATTTGCAGAACCAGATCTTGATCAGGTATGACCCCGGGGAGGGCTTGATGGTGAGGCCTTTGGGAAAGGCTATGTCCCCTTCTGGCCCTCACTTTCCCTTCTGTGCAGGAAGACTAGGTGAGTCAGCACAGAGAATATATCTGGGTCGTCCTATGGGCTTCCTGGGCCTGAAACTTGTGGGGTCCAACCAATGCATGAACCTTTGGGTTGTTTTCCTATCAGGAGGCACCAAGTCCCCACGTATGGGTCTCGATGTGTGGACATCGCAGGCAATAAGTTCTGGACAGGAGGTGAAGACGCCAGCTTGTATTCCTGGGACCTGAGGACCTACCAGAAGTTGCAGGAACAGTATTTACAGCATGAGGTGCCTGGCCAGCCACTGTGGGCTGAATACCATCCGCAGTCACTGGGAACGGGGGTGCCCGTTGGAGTGGGTCTGAGTTTGCAGAGGGGGCACAGGTGGGAGTGTTGGCAGCTCTGAGTGGTGACTCCAAACCTTCTGACAGATCCTCAGCATTGCCCACGACCCCAGTGAGGAGTACCTTTTAGTGGGCTTGAGCACAAGTGACATCGTGATGCTGCACACGCACCGGAGGGAGAAGTTCAAGGCTGTCATACACAAATACATCCACCACCACAACCTCAAGTTTGCCTCCTCTGGTGAGTGAGAAGCCAGGTGTGGCTTCTGGGCGTCCGGTCTGCTCACCTGCAGTCTGGGCCCAGCCTGGCTTCAGGCTGATTTCCCCTTGCTACCCCGTGCCGGCCACCCATACCCACCTCCTCCCACCCGGGGCAGAGGAGCCACCTTCCCTGCCCTTCTCCACACGCCCCTCCCCTTTCCTGCTTCTCTCTGTAATGGCTTCTTGCATGGCTTGTGGACAGGCAGACAGAGAGGTAGGAGGCCCAACTGATTGTCCCTCTGTGCTGTGATACAGTGATGTGGTGTGTGGCAGGAGGGTGGGGGCAGGTGAGAGGATGGTTTGGGTCTTGTCTCTGATTGTTATGGATGGGGAAACTGAGGCAGAGAAAAAGTCACCCTCTCCCTAGTCTAGTCAGGAACAGAGCTGGGACTAGAACACAGGCTCGGTCTCTCACCTCTCCACCTGTCTTTCCTTTGCCAGGGAGCTATTTTGTGACCACAATGGACGAGTCGATCCACTGCTTAGCAGCACCTTCTCTACAAAGATTGTTTCAGGTACCGGGAGCAGGGATGCACCACCCAGGCACCCGGAACTTATAGCCCCAGGTCCCGGTTGGTCGGGTCCCAGAGACAGTGCTAGAAAGTATGCTTGAGAGGGCATCTGGGGCCATTTAATAGTCCAGGGAGAATGGGGACTCTAGGTCCTGGGAACTCACGGCCTCCATCTTGAACCTGAGACCTGACGCTATCACCAAACAGCCTCAGGTGTACGCTGAGCCTTGAAACTGCTCTAAGGGAAGCCTTCCTCTGCGGCCATGCCCAGCCATGCTCACAGTCTCTCTGTGGCCTCTCTCCCTTAGATAGAGGAATCTACAGAAATCCTGTGTTGTGATGTGTCTTCTGACAACCAGTATCTGGTCACGGGCTCCAAGAACAGTGCCTCAGTTTACCAGCTCTTGTACTGAGACATGTGCACCACGGGCCTGCTGGTGAAAACCCAGAGGAGGCGAGTGTGCTGGGGAGATGACCGTGGTGCTGGACAGCGCCGACACCTCCCACACCCCTGCCTTACTGGTTGACTGGTTGTCTGTCCATCCTTCTCCCTGCCAACATGAACACCTAGCCTGCACTTCCCAAGTTTTTATTATATGGTTTAGGGAATTTTCCTTTGTTCTACCAGATTTTTTCCACCACTGATTTCTGGGTTTTGGTGGAGAAACTTGCCTTTATAATTAATAAAAGAGAAACGCAAAAACCAAAGTGACCTGGGTATGAATATGAGGTCAGTTTTTCAAAAGACATTCATTGTGATGGATTGCTTATACCTTCATTCAGCCAATTCCAGGGTAGGGAAGGAATTTTAGACCAGCTTGGTTGTTTATAACTTTTTTGGGGTCAGGGCATTCTTGGAATCTAAAGAAAGCTCAAGAAGAAATGTCTGTACCTATACAAACTTTCAGGTTGTCTCAGGGAGTTAGTAAACCAACAGTGCTTAACTCCTGGCCCAGGAGCACCAGGAGCTGGTCTGACCGTATCCCGAAGGACACGCCCTCCTTCCAGCTCCCACCTCACGATGCTTTGCTTTATCGAGTCTTTTGAAGTTCCGATCCTAATTCTGCATTTGGTGCTAGTCAAAAGCTGCCCATCCCTGTCTCAGGGCAGCTCCCCCATATTTGAGGATGTGATGATCGACTCTTTTGTCTGGCTTCCAGGCTGAAAGAGCCCCAGCTCCTGAGATCAAGCCATAAGCCTGCTTTGCAGTCCTCTTCCGACCTGCCTCTTCTTTGCTTGGTGCTGGCGTGGCTGGGACAGCCAGCTGCTTGCTAAAGTTTGTAGCTTAGAGTTGACACTGGGAAGAGGCTGCAAAGCCTAAGACCAAGCAAGCCATCCTTTGCATAGAGATATTGTCGGGTAGCTCGTTCTTGTCAATGGATCATGTGTGAAGAATGGGTCTTATTTCTGGGCCAAGGCTAAAGCAGTAAGGGTGTCCCCTCCAGCTTCTGTGTCCCTGTCTACCAGCTCAAGGCAAATTATGTGGAGGCCCTAGGGAACTGCAGAACCAGGAGGTAGAAGCATCTTGTGTCCACAGATCAAACATGGAGAAAAGCTGCCTGCTTTGGACTATTGCGTGGGAGAGACATAAACTTGCATTCAATAGACATTTTGGAGTCTATTTGTTACTATAGCTGTGGAAAAACAAACTTTTTATTTAAAGGGCCAGATAGTAAGTCTTTTAGGTGTTGCCATATGATTTTCGCTCCAGTTAACTGCCATTTGTAGCATGAAATCAGCCATAGGCAATACACAAATGAACAAGTGTGACTGTGTGCCAGTAAAATTTTATTTATAAAAACAGGCATTGGTATACTTGAAACCAATATAATATTGTATATCAACTATACTTCAAAAATATATATATTAAAACAAAACAAAACAGGTAGTGGGCTGAAATTTGGTCTGCTAGCTGTAGTTTGCAGACCCCTGTTGTAGCTGGTATGCCTGAAAATAGACTCCAGAATTTATAACAAGTGTCCATTGATGGATGAATGGGTAAATGTGGCTTTATATAGTATATGTATATATATATATATATGGAATATTATTCAGCTTTTAAAAGGAAGGAAATTCTGACACTGCTACATCGTGAATGAACCTTGAAAACATTCTGCTAAGTGAAACAAGCCAGCCACAAAAGCATGAATACTGTGGTTCCATTCAGGAGGTGCTTAAATCATTCATAGAGACAGGACAGTAGAATCATGGTTAGGGGTTGAGGGGAGAGGGAAATGAAAGGTGGTTGTCTAATGGGTACAGTTTCAGTTTAGCAAGATCAAAAAAGTTCTGGAGGCAGATGGTGGTGATGGTTGCACAACAATGTGGATGTACTGAATGCCACTAAGCTGTACACTTCAGAATGGTTAAGACAGTAAATTTTTTGTTTTTAATTTTTTAAATTTTGGTATCATTAATATACAGTTACAAGAGCATGAGCAGCATTGTGGTTACTAGATTCCCCCCATTATCAAGTCCCCCCCACATATCCCATCACAGTCACTGTCCAGCAGTGTAGTAAGACGCTATAGAGTCACTATTTGTCTTCTCTGTGCTACACCGCCTTCCCCGTGCCCCCTCTACATTATGTGTGCTAATCATAATACCCCTTATTCCCCTTATCCCTCCCTTTAAGATGGTAAATTTTGTAAAATGTATTTCACACAATTAGAAAAAGAGCTAGGGAATTATAAAGACCAAATTCAAAATAGTTGTAATCTCTGAGGAGGAAGGTAGAGAAATTGGATCATAAAGGGGTAAAAAGGGAGCTTCAACTTTATCTGCAACAATTATTTCTTCAAAAATGAAGTTCATCAAAATTAAAAATGAGTGCTTCAAGGAACATTATCACAAAGGTCACCTCACAGAAGAGGAGAAAACATTTGCAAATTACATTTCTGATAAGGGGGTTATATTCAAAATGCATAAAGAATTCTGACAACAATAAAAAGAAATACTCATTTTAAAAAGGGCAAAGGATTTGAATAGCTGTTTCTCCAAAAAAGATAGACAAATGGCCAATTAGCACATGAAAGGATACTCAGCATTATCAGGGAAATGCAAATCAAGGTCTCAGTGAGGTATCACTTCACAGCTGCTAGGATGCCAGAATAAAAAAGACAGACAGTGACAAGTGTTGGTGACAAGATACTGGAACCCCTATTATACATTGCTGGTTGGATTGTAAAATGATGCAGCCACTTCGAAAAAACTGTTTGGTAGCTCTTCAAATGTAAAGGACAGAGTTATCACATGACCCAGCAATTCTACTCCTAGGTACATGTCCAAAAGATGTGAAAACAAAACACTTAATTTGAGAGGGTAATAATTGGGAGTGATTAAGCAGAACTGTAAAAATTTCCTGGAAGGTAAAAATCCCAGTTAATAGTCTTGATAAGTCAGGGAGTAGTGTAATTTCTAGGCTACTAAAAGAATATTAAACAAGGGTACTGCTTCCAAACTGATAGAGGGAAAATACTGGACCAACAGCATATAATAATATTAAATATTTATAATTATTATATAGTTAATAACATTTAGTTATATTATTAACTACTAATATTTTTAATTGATATTATTACTGTAAATACAATTATGTAAGAATAATAAAAGCAAAGAAAGGAAAGAAAAGCAACAAAACAGAACAAAAAGGAAAACCTTATTAAAATGGTAGATTTAACTCTAAGTACATCAGTAATTACATTGAATGTAAACAGTAAATATTCCTATTAGTCTGTAGAGATTATGATTTAAGAAAATCTCAAGTGTATGTGTTTAAAAGAGACATTAAAACATAAGGATACAGAAAGTATGAAAAAATAGATACTTTATGTACACTCTAAATCAAAGCAAGCTGATGATATTACAATAATACTAGACCACATGTATTCCAAAAATTAAAAGCAATATTTGTAATCAAGATGAACACAAGTGTTGAATTCAGGTTAAATTCACCGGGAAGATACAAGAATTCTGTTTTATGCATTACCATAACCTCTAAAGAAAAATTGACAAATCTATCTCAGTAACTAGTGGTTCAAACAAAAATTAGTAAGAATATGGAAGATTTTTTTTAAAAGTATAGATTTGAATAACATGATTAGAAAACTTAGTACAATGCATAGAACAGCTACAGAATACATTTTTTCCCACAGAAACTTAAGAGGACTTAATTCTTGTACACTATATTCTTTGACCAGGAGGCAATTAAAATAGAAATGAATAATAAAAAGACTAGAAATTTTCCTATTTTGGAAATTAAGTAATATTTATAAGTAATTAATAGAGACGCAATCACAAAGTAATTGGAAGCTATTATAAATCAAATAACCAAAACTTGGAAGATTCGACCAAAGCGATGGTTACATCTTGGCCGTTCCTGGGTAATCTTGCAGTCTGCGATTTTCACAGATGCCACAAAGGGGATGGAACCATTACTGCTAACGCCGCGCCAGCACTGTGGGTTTTCTCACTCACGGGTTTTACTCATGGGAGAGGGGTCAAAGGTCTCTCCTGTAGCTCCACCGGTTGCCTTTTTGTTAGGCCTGGGGTTGAGGATCCACCCATTCACTGGGGTAGTCCTCCAGCAGTGCCCGCTGGGGACATGCGTACCTGCGCCGCCATCCCTTTACCCGCTCGGCCTCTAAGGGTTCACGGCCGAACACGTGTTCACCCTGAATAGTCACATTGCTCAGCAAAACAGCCGTGCCCTCTCTGAGGCTCGAACTCAGGACCTTCAGATTATGAGACTGACGCGCTGCCCACTGCGCCAAGAGGGCCCCTGGAAGAAGCATCTTCCTTATCACTAAAAGCAAAGTGCCCGCAGCCCCTAGCGCCGCCGGAGCCACCACTGGAGGGGAAGGGGGGCCTCTCCTGGCGGGTGCTCGGCTTTCCGCGGGCCCCAGGCCACCGGCCCGTGGGGCGGCGTGGAGAAGGAGGGTCGGCTTCCGGGAGAGGCGCCTGCCCGGAGCGCACGGAGCGTAGCCGTGCGGACCCAGGCCCGGCCCCCGCGGGTTTCCGGGGAGGGGTCTCCGGGGAGGGGGCGCGCCGCGTGGGGCTGGGAAGGGCGAGCTGGAGCCGGCGGGCCGGAAACGCGGGGCCCGGCGGGGGCGCAGGCTCCGAGGGCGGCTCGAGGGCGACCCCGCGGGCGCCCTCGGGAGCTCCGGAACCGCGGCGGGGCTTCGGAGGAGGGGCCGGGGCGGCGCGGACGCGAAGCGCACGGAGGAGGCGGTGCGAGGGGAGCCTGTCAGTCTGAGGGTGACCGTCGCGTGAGCAGGCTGGGGACGAGGAGGGAATCGGCGCCGCGGGGTGGACGCAGGTTGGGCGGCGACACCCCGCGGGCGGGCGTCAGGGGGCGCCCCCGAGCAAGGGGTGCGTAGGACCCCGGGAGCGGCGGTTGGGGTAGCGGAGCGGAGCTCGGACGGGTGCGGAACGTGGGGTAATCTCCAGGCCTGGTGGATTGCAGTGGGAGCGAGGGGGGAGACGGAAGAGAAGATTCTGGAAGACCCTTGGATGTGAATTAAATAGGAAGATGGCCGGAGGAAACCGTGGCTACCTTGGACTTGTCAGCTTGTTTGGACTTGTCAGCTTGTTTGTTTATTGAACCCCGTGTTTTAGTTTTCTCTTTCAAATAATTTTGCTTCCTTCTTATGCTTACGGGCATCTCACATTGAAAGGCAGAGGAGTA